TTTTTTTTCCTTGAGATAAGAGTCTCACTTTTGTCACCTCTGGTGCCATAGCTCACAGCAACCTCAAACTCCTGGGCTTAAGCCATTCTCTTGCCTCAGCCTCTTAAGTAGCTGGGACTACAGGCACATGTCACAATGGCAGGCTATTTTTATTTATTTTCGTAAAGACAGAGACTCACGTGGTGCCTGTGGCTCAAAGGAGTAGGGCACTGGCCCCATAAGCTGGAGATGGGTGGGTTCAAACCCAGCCCTGGCCAAAAACAAAAACAAAAAAGAGACAAGAGTCTCAGTTTATCACCCTTGGTAGTGCCATGGCATTACACAGCTCACAGCAACCTCCAACTCGCGGACTGAGGGGATTCTGCCTCAGCCTCCTGAGTAGCTAGGACCACAGGCACCTGCCACAACGCCTGGCTATTGTTACACTTTGGCTGGGGCCAAGTTTCAACCCGCCACCCTTGATATGTGGGGCTGACGCCCTACCCACTGAGCCATAGGCACTGCCCGGTGGGCTATTTTTAAAGACAAGGTCTCACTCTGGCTCAGGCAATCCACTCGCCTTGGCCTCCCAAGTGCTGGGATTACAGATGTGAGCCAGTGTGTCTAGCTGAAAGTATAAGTTTTGAGAACCTGAGGGTGTTTTTGTTTGTTTTTTAAGACAATCTCACTGCTACCTCAGCCAGAGTGCCTTGGTGTCAGCCTAGCTCATAGCAACCACAAACTCCTGGATTCAAGCGGTCCTTTTGCCTCAGCCTCCTAAGCAGCTAGAGCTATAGGCATCTGCTGCAGCACCCAACTAATTTTTTCTATTTTTGGTAGATATAGGGTCTTGCTCTTGCTCAGGTTGTTCCAGAGCTCAAGAGATCCTCCTGTCTTGGCCTCCAGAGTGGAATACCAGGGAAATTTCTGAGAGTCCCATCTTGGCCTCCCAGAGTGGCTAGGATTACAGGCGTGAACCACCATACCTAGCCAAGAACCTGAGTTTTAATAAACATCACACCAATAGATGAGTGGTCTGTGAAATCTATAGCTCATGAATAAGTCTGTCAAGAAAAGTGATGGGGGCTTGGCGCCTGTGGCTCAGGTGGCTAAGGCGCCGGCCACATACACCTAAGGTAGTGGGTTTGAATCCAGCCCAGGCTTGCCAAACAATGAAGGCTGCAACTAAAAAAAAAAAATAGCCAGGTGTTGGGGCAGGCGCCTGTGATCCCAGCTGCTTGGGAGGCTCAGGTAGGAGACTCGCTTGAGCCTAGGAGTTGGAGGTTACTGTGAGCTGTGATGCCACACCAGTCTACCCAGGGGGACAGCTTGAGGCTCTGTCTCAAAAAAAAAAAAAAAAAAGAAAAGAAAAGGGGCACAGTATAGGTTAAGGTACAGTCCTTTAGGGCCCACCATGATTGTGATTAAGTTAGGGGCATGCAAAAGATGTGGCCTGGCTGGAGCTTGGGAAGATGAAGAGTGCTCAACATGGAACCCTAATTGGGTCTTGGCACTTGGGAGGTAAGAAAGGGAACCGTTCAAGATTAGGCCAGGCACCATGGCTAATACCTATGGGAGGATCGCTTGAGGTCAGGAGTTTGAGGTTGCTGTGAGCTGTGACACCATGGCACTCTACCAAGGGCTACATAATGAAACTCTATCTCAAAAAAAAAAAAGGTGTCAGACACATTAAATAAAGCACATGTTAGTATTAAAGGCAAGAAAAAGGTATTGAGAAGACAATATTCTTAACTTTTTATTTTTTGTGGTTTTTTTGGCCAGGGCAGGGTTTGAACCTGCCACCTCCGGCATATGGGGTCGGCGCCCTACTCCTTTGAGCCACAGGTGCCACTGGACAATATTCTTTTTTTTTTTTTTGAGACAGAGCCTCAAGCTGTCCCCTTGGGTAGAGAGCTGGTGACATCAAAGCTCACAGCAACCTCCAACTCCTGGGCTCAAGCGAGTCTTCTGCCTCCGCCTCCCAAGTAGCTGGGACCACAGGCGCCCGCCACAACGCCTGGCTGTTTTTTGGTTGCAGCCATCATTGTTGTTTGGCGGGCCCAGGCTGGATTCAAACCCGCCACCTTGGGTGTATGTGACTGGCGCCTTAGCCACCTGAGCCACAGGCGCCAAGCCCAATATTCTTAACTTACAAGAAAAAAAGACTGGTTGGTAGCCAATGGCACTGAGTTGACTCAATCTGAAGGCAGGATCTGACCTATACCAGAGAAGTTTCTTTGAAATGGTGGGGAATAGGAGGAAGTTAAAATAGAAACCCATGTAGAGGAAAAAAAAAAAAAAAGAAAAGAAATGAAACCCATGTAGAGTCATGTTTAACTGATCCTTTTTTCCTGCGACACCAAGGAAGAAATTTTACTGGAAAACCAAAAAGGTCAAGAAAGTTTTTTGTCTCCACCTAGAACTATTTTAAAAAAACAAGACTATTCCATTAGCAAAAACATCAATTTACAGAGGCTTTCTACATTTTCTTTCAGATTTATCATTCTATGATGATAGAAGCATTAAGGCCAAAGAGAAAAATAAAGCTGATTTAACACTGGAACAACATACTCACGACTGCCCCATTTCCTTGTATGTTGTCTTACTGTAATTAATGGTAAACAGTCCATCTCATAAAAATTTTTTTGTAATTTTCTTGCTTGAAATAGGTAATATATGGCAATGAAAGTTAATATAACCTGTATATAACAATTTCAAAGATCTTCAATTTTCCTCCAAAGGGAACTTCTGACAATGGTGTTTTAACATTTATATTCACAATAAATACTAGAAATCTGTTGACCTGAAAAGTTTTCCACTTAAAATATCACAGTGTAAACTCATTGCTTTTCTAATCTTGCAGTCTTTACAAAGACCACTGCTTAAATTAATTAACAGTAACAGTAGGAATTTCCCCCAGCCATGACTCCTCTCACTTCTACATTTGCAAAAATTAACTTGCAAATTCAAAAATTTTATGAAAGATCTATGTACAACTGAACAGGGAGAAACCACCAGACATTAATTCTGTTGAAAAATGCCAGGTTAGCATTTCTGGACAAGATAGGATGTCTAGGTGTTTCCTCTGGGAGCTAAAACCTTTGTTTTTCATTTTAAACATGGCAAAATGAGCTAAAGAACCAATTGGTATTATAATATTCCCATCAGTTACCAGAATAGTATCTATGATTAAGAGCACAGACTTTGGAATCAAACTGAACTGTGTCAATTCAAGTGTTGTATTTTCAGGAGTTTCTTGCTAACAGTATTCCTCTGTGAAGAGACAAGCTATTTTAGATCTCATTTGTCCTGTTTTTATGTGTCAAGTTTCTGTTCTAGTAACCATAATCACTACTAGGTATGGGAATGCAATGGTCCACAATGAAAAGGCATCTCAACTGGGGAAGACTAATAGTTAATGCCTACTTTTTGACATACCAGACCAAAATTTATGAAAGCAAGTGAATCTAAGAATCTTTAGAATGTTGAAAAAAAAAAAAAAAGAAGTATTTCAGCCATCAGTCAGAAAGGTTAGTTTAAATCAGGCATCCTCAAACTACAGCCGGCGGGCCTCATGCAGCCTGCCTAGGACACTTATCCAGCCTGCTTTTGCTGCCGCTGCCTGTCCTGCTCAACAGCTGACTCATCCTGGAGCCTGCAGTCTGGCCCTCCAATGGTCTGAGGGACAGTGAACTGGCCCCTTGTTTAAAAAGTTTGAGGATCCCTGGTTTAAATGACATGTTTAAAGCACAAATGTTACTTGACATGGGACTTTCTAGGTAACAAAAGAAGATATAATTGACATAGGTCCTATTAAGTTTTTCTTTTCTTTTTGTTTTTTTGAGACAGTGTTTTACTTTGTCACTGCTGTCATAGCTCACAGCAACCTCAGACTCTTGGACTCAAGTAATTCTCTTCCCTCAGGCTCCCGAATAGCTGTAATTACAGGTGCCTGTCACAGTGCCTGCATATTTTTAGAGGCAGAGTCTCACTCTAGTTCAGGCTGTTCTCAAACTCATGTGCTCAGGCGATCCACCCACCTTGGCATCCCAGAGTGCTGGGATTACAGGTGTGACCCACCAAACCAGCCTTAAGTTTTTCTTCTCTTTATTTGCCAGATAAGTTGACTTTATTAATCAACAGGCAAAACTTGTGACTTAGAGCTATATATGCCAGTGAAATATACTTAATTATTTATGGTTAACTGTGTACCCAGAGTTTCCATAGTTAAAAAAATTGATCAGCCAATAATAACACTTTTCTAACTGTAGCAAGCTGTCACTTTCTCAAGTTCTATTTAAGTATTCAGTATAGTCTTGTTTTGGGTAACATCATTAGAATTTACTGAACAGTAAAAGAAGCTAAGATAGAAGCACATAACGCTTGCTACATACTCAGTTAAAATAGATGATACGTACAATAGTATCCTTTCTTGGATATGAAGTTTGAATCACATTTGCAAATACATTCATTAAGTTCTAAACTCTTCACTAAAAAAGTGAGGGTATATGGAATTATTTTTCATTTCCTTAAAAAATTTGATCACATCTAAGACAACAAAAATAACCTATTTAAAAATAATGTTTTTTGGGGCGGTACCTATGGCTCAATGAGTAAGGGGCCGGCCCCATATACTGAGGGTGGTGGGTTCAAACCTGGCCCTGGCGAAAATGCAACAAAAAAATAGCTGGGCGTTGTGGTGGGTGCCTGTAGTCCCAGCTACTTGGGAGGCTCAGGCAAGAGAATCACCTAAGCCCAGGAGTTGGAGGTTGCTATGAGCTGTGTGACGCCACGGCACTCTACTGAGGGTGATAAAGTGAGACTCTGTCTCTACAAAAAATAAAAAATAAAAATGTTTTCTTCAAGTTCTCAGGTGACTGAAGGAAAAAATACTATATATAATTTCTGATGGTCCTTTGGCCAGGTTATTTAGGAGCCACCACTTAAGAGCTCAAACTGGTATTCCAAAGGGAGTGGTTTAAAAATAAACACAAGAAAACATACAACTAATACAATTTCTCTTACTCTTCACTTTTCTTTTTATTATTCAAAAGTCAAATGTTATTTTTAAATCATCCATCCTCAATTTTGATTTAATGTACCGTCATTTTCCCAAGATATGAAATTTCAGAATCTCTTTGGAATACTAATTTCATGTTTCTAGGTTTAACAAAACTGTTGAAGTTTTAAATTCCACTCTATTTCCCTGAATTCTCAAGACAGTTGCTGATGTAAATTTTAATATAAAATATTTAGTCACAAAATAGTATTGCTTTTGTATGCACATAGTTGTAAGATTACTTTGCTTTTGTCAATAAAAACTATACCATCTTTCATAAAACTCTAAACAAATTAAGAACTGTGATGCAAAACAAAAATTACACATGGTAAAACAGGTACCAGCACAACGTTAGGTTATAGTTACATCAAAAAAAGTTTTAATGGTCCCAAATATATATACTCAGCAACTAAGCATACACTCAGGGGAGGAAAAAAAATTAAAAACAAAATGAAACAAAAAAAAAAATTATGACACAATTGACCACATCTAGAATTCCACTCAATCTTTAATCAAGCAGGGACAAATCCCCACTTTAAAAAAAAAAAAAAAAACTGCAGTTTGAAGGGCAAAGGGAACAGATAAAAAAGAGGAAACTTTATATTCGCCCCTCCCCCACAGAGGTTTTCCCAAACCTGTTGTAGTTTGACTAAAATGTTCAGAATGTATGATTTTAAAGGCAGGTCTCTTTATACAAAGAAACTGCTGGCATTCTTAACTAGTGAAGAGTTATGGCAGAAAGGCCCATTCTTCTGAGTCTCAAATATGGTCCAAGAAAGCATATTCTGATTGTAGCAACTGACCAGTCAATCCAGAGTTCCACTTACAAAACCCCTGCCCTGTTGGCTTTTTGTTTCCATTTCCTTCCCTGAGAAAAGGGCAATGTGTGGTCCAAGCTGGAGAGCTCAAAGGCTTAAGTCTTTCCCCTAAATGTATGATATCCCCTCCTCCTGCTCCATTCAATTGGCACTTGATGAGCAGAAGTCAAGTGTGCAAGGCTGATTTGTGTCAGTCATTCACAAGAGACCACTGCACTTTGTTGTGGATTTTGTAAGGGGGAGGAGTAGAGAACCAGTTTTTTTCAACAGGTACTGATCATAGGCAGTTGCTATTATTATGAATCAAATTTTGCTTTCTTTGACAATGGTAGCGCATCTTCCTTTTCTTCATCCTCATCATCATCATCATCATCATCAGGATAATCTACCAGACCCACGAGGCCTCCCTGTTCAGAAACAAGGATTATTTAAAGAATAAAAAATAACATACTACATTTTAAAATACCTGTGTTTTAAGCAAAAACGTTTAAGTTATCTAAAATTAAAACAAAAATCTTTATAAATCCTAGCAAATTGCTCAAGAGACAGAAACAATACTAAATTTCAAGACTTAACAGTGTCTTAGCAGTCTGGAAGGCCTAGGCAGAGCTCACAGGTTCAAGACCAGCCTGAGCCAGAGTGAGCCACCCCCCCCCCGCCCCCCGGTCTCTCAAAATAGCTGGGCATTGTGGCAGGTGCCTAAAGTCCCAGCTACTTGGGAGGCTGAGGCAAGAGAATTGCTTGAGCCCAAGAGTTTGAGTTGCCTTGAGCTACGATGCCACTGCACTCCATAGGGTGACAAATATTTTGTCTCAAAAAAAAAAGACTTAATAGTGCATTAACATCTTTTAAAAACATGAAAATCTAAAACTACTATCAAGATAAAAACTGCAGGCTCGGCGCCTGTGGCTCAAGCCAGCCACATACACCTAAGGTGGTGAGTTCGAATCCAGCCCAGGCCTGCCAAACAACAATGATGACTGCAACCAAAAAAAATTAGCCAGGTGTTGTGGTGAGCACCTGTGGTCCCAGCTACTTGGGAGGCGGGGGCAGGAGACTGACTTGAGCCGAGGAGTTGGAGGTTGCTGTGAGCTGTGATGCCACAGCACCCTACCCAGGGTGACAGCTTGAGGCTCTGTCTCAAAAAAAAAAAAAAAGATAAAAACTGCAATCCTATCATTCTGAGAGGCCAAGGCAGGAGGATTGCTTGAGGTTGGGAGTTTAAGATTAGCCTGGGCAAAGTGAGATCCCTGTCTCTACTAAAAAAATAAATAAAAAAGAAAAAAATTAGCCAAACAGGGTATGCACCTGTGTAGTCCTAGCTACACATGAGGCTGGGGCAAGAGGATTGTTTAAGCCCAGGAGTTTGAGCTTGCTGTGAGCTAGTCTATGAAAACAGAACAAGAGTATCTCAAAACAAAATCAAACAACACTGCAGAAGATAAACAGACCACTAGAAAAGAGGACAGACAGGCCATTAGAGGTTAGGAAAGCAATTCTACACTATCTCTTCCTTATTGTTGCATCTGTGCTTCCTTTTTCTCCTTCACCAGAAACTGCTGTAGCTGATGTTATTTAGCTGGCTATGAAAAATTTACAGTGCTTTGCCCTCAGCCTGCCCTTCCTTTCAGCAAGTCTCAGAGTTGCTTCTTGTCCTTAAGAGCCTCCTGCTCACAGGAGAGTAAAAGATATTATGAAGGGGCATTAGATTGCTAATTTAGATTGGTGATTCTCAAGTGCCAGTCTTTTAACTCATAGCCCAATAATTAACATATTTTATGCCTCAAAAGGATAAATAAAAAGGCCAGCAGAAGGAACCAAAATATTGGTTTTTTTCTGAGATTGTTTTTTCTACAATTTTGTTATTAAAATTATGTTTTTTCTATGTATTTTAGGTTATCTTTCCCCTACCAAGTCTTTATCTGGGTATTAACTGGGAGGGTTGATTAAGTAAAGAATAACAGAAAATTAAAAATTCTGTAAATATCTTGACATACAATTCGGAACATATAATTGTAAAATGCAAAATACCAAAAAGAACACATTCAGACTTCTTCACTGTTCATTAAAAAAACTGAGAAATTTCTCGACTCCTAAGTTCTGATCTACTGGGGAGGGACTCATTATCTAATTCACAAATGTTAAACACCAGTTCCAGAGGCAATATTTAAAGGAGTGTCAGTCACACAAAAGTTACTGTTGAGAAAGATTAATGTAGGGAGAAAAGGGGGCAAAATATCCTAGAAGTAAAAAATGTACCTTTGTAGTAATAGCTGCCGTCTGAGATGTATTTTTAGGGACGGATCCAGGAGAGCCTGGAGATCCTGGGGATCCAGGTGATCCTGGAGAACCAGGCAGATTTGTTGCAGATGACTGGCTGGTGAGGTTAGTCTTTGTTCCACTGGACAAGGAAAGCTTGAAACTTGGGCTCTGCCGTCCAGAAAGATTTGTTTTCAGAAGCACCTCCTTTTCTTCACTTTCTTTTACTAAAAGTGAGAATACTGTCAATAGTTGCTCACCCATACTTTTTTAAATTCCTTCCAAAGACCTGACACTAAAACATGATTAACCAGCATACTCCTTTTGCTGGGGAGAAACACTAAAGTTTAATTTATGAACAAAGCTTACAAAAATACTAAATATGATTGTATCCATTGGATTTTACTCCAGAGAGAAGGAATGAAACCTTTAGTATCATATTTTGTATTCCTACTCTTCTTGAAATACTATATTCCTACTTAACACGAAAAGAAAATTTAGTATGTACCTTTACAACAGTCATATATCATAAAGCAATGGAGTCTTAAAGTATGTGTGACTACATATCCCAAATAGATACTAATCATTTTGTCAAGAAACAGAGAAAAAACCTAGCGTCTATCTGAATGTGCCCAATCTCATCTGATCTTGGAAACTAAGACGGGTAGGACTTGATTAATACTTGGATAGGAGAATAAATCTAGAGTGAGAAAGCCTTCATCTTTCTTGCCCATTTTTTCAACATACATTTCTTCCTTTCCATGAATTTACTTATTGGATCCATAATATCATCATCATTTTTATTTTTGTCAGATGGAGATACTACAGCTTCTCCATCTTCCATGTCATCTTCATCTGTGTTAAACCACATCTCTTCTTCATCTTCTAGTGTTCTGGCATCTCTTCGGTATCTATGATTCCTCAAAATGGAACGCATACTATAAATAAAGAGAACAAAGAGTAAATATATTAATATAAGAAGACTTTATTTAGTCTTCAAGTATTGCTCTAAAATTAGGGCAGTGCCCACAGCTCAGTGGGTAGGGCACCAGCCACATATACGGAGGCTGGCAGGTTCAAATCCAGCCTGGGCCAGCTAGACCAATGACAACTGTAACAAAAAAATGGCTGGGCATTGTGGCAGTTGCCTGTGGTCCCAGCTACTTGGGAAGCTGAGGCAAGAGAATCACTTAAGCCCAAGAGTTTTTGAGGTTGCTGTGAGCTATGATGCCACAGCACTCTACTGAGGGTGACATAGTTACACTCTTAAAACACACACACACACACACACACACACACACACACACTCTCCACCATGTCTAGTATTAGTGAAATCAAACTCCTTATTATCAAAATTGTACTGTTATAGATCCTTTATTCAACTGTTAACATTAGAAATTAACAAATAGGCTCGGCATCAGTGGCTCAAGCAGCTAAGGTGCCAGCCACATACACCAGAACCAGCGGGTTCAAATCGAGCCCAGGCCTGCCAAACAACAATAATGGTTGCAACCAAAAAATAGCCGGGTGTTGTGGCAGACGCCTGTAGTCCCAGCTACTTGGGAGGCTGAGGCAAGATAATCACTTAAGCCCAGGAGTTGGAAGTTGCTGTGAGCTGTGATGCCACAGCACTATACCAAGGGCAACAGCTTGAGGCTCTGTCTCAAAAAAAAAAAAAAGGAAATTAACAAATAATAATTTTCAGATTTGAGATGCACTAGAAATGTGAATTCAGGTGTTTAGAAAAATGTGTAAGATTTTTTAAGATTTGTAACCTTATGGCTCGGCACCTGTGGCTCAAGTGGCTAAGGCGCCAGCCACATACACCTAAGGTGGTAGGTTCGAATCCAGCCTGAGCCAACCATAACAATGATGGCTGCAACCAAAAAATAGCCGGGCACAGTGGTGGGCGCCTGTGGTCCCAGCTACTTAGGAGGCTGAGGCAGAAGACTCGCTTGAACCCAGGAGTTGGAGGTTGCTGTGAGCTGTGATGCCATGGCACCCTACCCAGGGTGACAGCTTGAGGCTCTGTCTCAAAAAAAAAAGAAAAAAAAAAAAAAAGACTTGTAACCTTAATAATTTATAAATTCAAAGGACAGAGGATAATATCTTGCTTTGAACACCTGAAGTCTCACTACCACCTAAGTGTTTGTTTTTCAATATCTAGCTTGATATGTGCCTAAGGGTTTGCAAATCATACTAACATCCACCTAGACCTTCTATTGGCCTTTATAGGAAACTACAATTTCGATTCACTAGCTGCCTACTTTCCTTCCCTAATATCAAATAAAAAAGCCATCACCGAGGGTGGCACCTGTGGCTCAAAAGGTACCCCAGCCAAAAAAAACTGCAAAAAAAAAAACCGTCACTGCACAACTAGATGCTGAATGAATAGGTTCAAATATATGGTAACTTACCTGTCAAGTTTAGGATTATCTTGCCTTTCTCTTTGTTGTTCAAATCTCAGTTTTAATCCTTTAAATGTCTGTACATAATCTACATCTTCCAGTGCTTTCCAGTAATTTTCAATTACATGAGCAGTTAGTGATTTTATATCTTCCTACAGAAAAGAATTGTAAGAAATGATAGCAAAAATGTTTCAGCAAGATGGAGCTTAATTTAGTAAATTCATAAATACACCAAAAGTACTTTCATTTCAAAAAATTCTGACACAGTGTTAGAGATAATTAAACAATGAAAATGGGGGCTCGCCGCCTGTGGCTCAAGCGGCTAAGGCGCCAGCCACATACACCTAAGGTGGCGGGTTCGAATCCCCAGCCCGGGCCCGCCAAACAACAATGATGACTGCAACCAAAAAATAGCCAGGCGTTGTGGCGGGCGCCTGTGGTCCCAGCTACTTGGGAGGCGGAGGCAGGAGACTCGCTTGAGCCCAGGAGTTGGAGGTTGCTGTGAGTGTGATGCCATGGCACTCTACCCAGGGGGACAGCTTGAGGCTCTGTCTCAAAAAAAAAAAAAAAAAAAAAAAACAAAAACCAATGAAAATGGGAATAACACACACTGACTACTATAGTAGTCCTAGATTTACCTATGGGCCCAAGTCCCACCCTAGGTGATTTTGACTCCAGAGGTCTGGGATAGAATCTGGGCATGTGTATTTTAAAAGTATGCCACAGGCTCAGTGCCTATAGCTCAGTGAGAGGCTACACAGAGGTTGGCAGGTTTAAGCTCAGCCCAGGCCTGCTAAACAACAATGACAACTCCAACCAAAAAATAACTGGGCGTTGTGGCAGGCGCCTATAGTTCCACCTACCTAGGAGGCTGAGACAAGAGAACTGCTTAAGACCAAGAGTTTGAGGTTGCTGTGAGCTGTGACACCATGCACTCTACCAAGGGTGACACACTGAAACTCTGTCTCTTAAACAAACAAAAGAAAGTATGCCACAAGCCAGGTGCAGTGGGTAACACCTGTAATCCTAGCACTCTGGGAGGCAAGGAGAGAGGATTGTTTGAACTCAGGAGTTTTAAGACCAGCAAGAGCAAGACCCTGTCTCTCTTAAAAATAGAAAAACTAGTCTGGCCAATAGTCCTAGCTGACTGGCAGGCTGAGGCATAAGGATTACTTGAGCCCGGGAGTTTAAGGTTGCTGTGAACTATAAGCCAGGGCACTCTAGCCTGGGGCAAGAGAGTGAGACTCTGTCTTTAAATAAATAAAAGCATACACATACATTGTATATCAAATCAGTACACTGAACCCCATAAATGCATCAATGTACACAGTTATGATTTAATAAAAACAAAAAAAAGTATGCCACTACAAGTTCTGGAGATAGTGATGGTTGAAAAAACAATATGAATGTACTTAATTCCACTTATACACTTTAAAAATAATTAAAATGGCAAGTGTTATGTTATATATATTTTACAATTAAATCATACCATAATTTTACATAGCACCAATATTTGAGAACTACTAAATTACATTATTAACAACAGAAGAGTCTATTATGAAATTATTTTTCAGAAACATATGAAAGCCAAGAAACACATTCAAATACTTATCTGTCAATTGTACTTTTACTTTTTAAAAATGATTACCATGACAGTATTAAATCAACATCCAATCCATTCTATAAATAATGCATAGCTGTTGAAAAGATTATTTTGACTCTAACTTTGAATCAAATTTCTCCAAATCTTTTGATACATTGGTTTTTCTTTTTAAAATTCTCTCCAAAGAAGGAAGAAGTCTGATAAGCTTCCACCTAACAGGTATAATGTAGGACTACTATATGGCATACTTGTGGATACAGGGTTACAACCTAGACTTTACATAACAAATGCAAACAAGGTAACTAATTGTTTTACCCATATAGTAATCTGAAGTAAAAATAAATAAATTTTAAAAATTCCCTCCAAGTATTCTCAAGTAAGCCAAAATGTCAGTGATGCACATTTAATTTTCTTAAACAATTAAAACCAAAATTCTAACTAAAAAATATAGAACCTACCACTCTGATAAATTCAAACATCTCTATTATGGCAGAGTTCATCAGATTGTAGCGGGATCCATTGTTGAGAAACGCTTTGACTACTGGCTCAAACAAAAAACTTTTCATTATGTAGCGGTTGTAAAACTCATCTTTTAATCCAATAATCTTTCTCTTAAAACGAAGGGCACCTGAAACACAGAGGCATTGTTCTTTAAATCACATACAGCACTTGTATATTTAGATTTACTAATAATACCATAAAAAAACACAAAACAAAAACAAAAAAAACCTGTTTAAGACATATCAATCAGTAAGTCTTCGTGCAGTGATATGTTAGCACTTCCAGAAAGTGAACCTGAAGATAAGGATTATGAAAGTGTTATCAGAGAAGTGTATTTTGTAAGTAGTAGGTGTCATCATAGAACACAAGTCTTAGAAAGCCAGAAAAATTCTGGAAATAAACCAGTTACTAATAGCCAAAATGTAATTTATATCAGAAGAGTTACTGGCAAATGAATTAACTTATACTACTTAAGATGAAAAAATTAAATATATCCTTTTATATATATATCTTTAAAACAATTTTAAAAAACTATTGGTTTATTAGGGCAATCCACTGTACAATTTGGCCTTTAATATTTATGGACACTCTTCATTATCTCCATCAGAATTCACGGGTTTTACATTTATTTATTTGTGGATATGCTTACAGAAATGTTATAAACCCACAAAAATCTGTATGGCCCCAAATTTGCCTTCCCAAAGTTTAGAAATAAATTTAGAGCGAGTATGCTTTTTAAATTTTTTTTCCTAGTTTTTCTTTTTACAATTAATTAGGCTTTAACTTACAGATCAAAAGGTATATTCACATCTTGAGGTATGGGGAGTTACTTAAGTCACCATTCGTCAAGATCCAAATATACTCAGAATGCCAGACTTCAACAAAGCCCTCTTTACCTAAGTAGAATTATCAGTAAGTTAATGCCCCAGTTATTGTAAACAGTTCAAAAAAGCATACTCACTTCATGCAGTCACATCGTCTTCGGTTGGCAAGATTAAATATTGTGTTTGTATTTTGGTTTCTTTGGAGATCATAGAAGTGGCTCGTTAAACTGCCAATATGTTATTAACCAAGTCCTTCATGAGCGGGTAGCCAGGCAACCATGCTGACACGGTTTCTGGGTGGGAAGGCAGAGGAGTAAAGCAGCTCAATTTTTCTTTAGTTGGCAGAAAAGAGGTCCACAAGTGAATGCCCAATTAGGTACAGTTGATTATAAACTGCTTTAACAATTCAACTTATTTAAGAGTGTATCTTTCTAAAGAAACACTCTGGGCAGGGAGTTTTGAAATAGTTTATGGAATAATAATTGCATTTTACTTTTAAATTACTGAATATTTTTAAAAAAGCATGGTGAAATTAGACATCTTAATAAGAGGTATCTTTGTGTGTGGTAAGCCTAATAAGGGTCGATTCTCCCAAAACAATATTCTCTGATTTTTAAAAACGTTAACTGACAAGGGAACTTAGGAATAAAAATCAATACTTTAGTATTGCTTTTTGGCCATGCTAATAGACCAAATTTTAAGCTTTTTGTCATTAAGGCAAGAGTAGTATTACTTTAAGAATTAGTACGCCAACTCTGGCGTACTAAGGCTTTGTGAAGACTTGTGTCCTACCATAACACACACTCACTGACCCCTCTGGTCTGAATGCAGTTCTGAGATAAATGAAAACTCCCTGGAATTCACTAGGTCCAGGGTATGCTGATGACACTATTACACATTAAGCTCACTTTATCCAGAAACTGCTGATGCAGACGGAAGGTAGTTCTAGTTCTAGAAGGTCTTTTTTGTTTGGCTCTCCCTTCCATTTGCCCTCACTTATTTATATCAAGAATTCTGTGTTATTTCCACTCAAACCCATCCCTGAAAAGCAAGCTGCATCAAAAACATCCAACCACTATTTTGTGGTGAATAAAAAGTTACCAGTGAGTTCTGTGAAGTCAGTCAAAGGAAAGAATTCGTATGGAACAGACCAAGTTGGCATAACCACTGTATTTTCAATGTACAGCATGCTCTGCTTCCATTAACATCTCTAACCTTCCTTAATATGCCAGGAACCTCCTGTACTTAAGTTTCAAATATCTCTTAAAAATAATTCATCTTCACCCACACCATATGAAATCTCATGTAATAAGTTTGACTTTTTGCCTTCTATGTCACTACTGAAGACTGAATAAAAGCCTCTATAGTAAAGCTTTTATTTCATTCCTTTTAAAAATTTCCATGTTTTTAACAACAAACCGCCCCTCCCCCCCAACAACATAAAAGTTACTTACAATGTAAGATCAAGAATCGTGAAAAGGCCAAGAAAACAGACTGATGTAATTGATACCCATCAGACTGAATTTAGAAAAGGATTGCTGGCCTCACCCACATTAACTTAATTGTCTTTAAATATGACAAACTATACTAATTAAGCAGCAGCAGATATGAAAAATAAGCCTAAATTCCCAAACTATTTACATTTAATGGCTATTGTTTGTACTTACAAATGTGTATCTAAACTTAAATATTTATAAAACCCTTCCTTAACGAATACTATACCTAATATTTTATTTCAATGTATACTTTTCTCAGAACAACAGTATCTTAAATTTCCCCAAATCTACACTTAGTTCTTAGAAATCCTTGATAAAAACCCCTACTGTATTACTATAAAGGTAGTCCTAAAGAACTTGTTCCTAATGACTGGCATCTTCTTTAAAAAGATTTTTTTTTTTGGAGAGAGTCTCACTTTGTCACCCTTGATGGAGTCCTATGGTTGTTATAGCTCACAGTAACCTCAAACTCTTGGGCTCAAGAAATTCTCTTGCATCAGCCTCCCAAGTAGCTGGGACTACAGGCACCCATCACAATGCCCGGCTATTTTAGAGACAAGTTCTCTCTATGGCTCAGACTGGTCTCAAACTCATGAGCTGAGGCAATCCACCCACCTCAGCCTCCTAGAGTGGTAGGATTATAGGCATGAGCCACTGTGCCCAGTCTAAAAAGATATTCTTATTCACAACTCTGGGAAGAGAGGCAGACTGAGAAATCATTAAGCATTAGGTTTAAGGCTCGGCTCCCATAGCACAGGGATTACAGTGTTACCCACATGCACCAAGGCTGGCAGGTTCAAACCTGACCCAGGCCAGCTAAACAACAATGGCAACTGCAACAAAAGGTGCCCAGGCATTGTGGTGGGCACCTGTAGTCCCAGCTACTGAGGAGGCTGAGGGAAGAGAATTGTTTAAGCCCAAGAGTTTGAGGTTGCTATGAGCTGTGACACCATAGCACTCTAATAAGACTGTCTCAAAAAAAAAAGGCTTAACAGTATCCTGACTCAGGAAAATACCAACAAAAGAAAACATAACGAAGATTTTGCTAGTGTTCTTAGTTTCTAATAATTACAAACTTTTATTTACTTGTAATGATTCACTCTATAGTTCTCATTACCTGATGAACTTTTTTATTATAATACTGCAAGCAGAATAATAAACTGAGGAACCAAACTAAAGAAAAGGCCTTGGCTCAGCACCCATGGCTCAGTGGTTAGGGCGCCGGCCATCCACCAAGGCAGCCAGGTTCAAACCCAGCCTGGAACACTGCAGTTTGGTTGCCAAATGCAACCAAAAAATAGCTGGGCGTTGTGGCGGGCGCCTGTAGTCCCAGCTACTTGGGAGGCTGAGGCAAGAGAAACATTTAAGCCCAAGAGTTTGAGGTTGCTGTGAGCTATGATGCTACGGCACTCTACTGAGGGTGACATAGTAAAACTGTCTCAAAACAAAAATGGAAAAAAAAAACAACACACAAGTAAAAAAAAGGCCTTCACCTTTAGCTATATATCTTGCCACTTTCCACTGGACGTATAAGTCTTAACCTATAGCAAACCCACACTTATACTTAACATCTTAACTACAGTCAACCAAGAATGCCAATGATGAAGACACAACTCAAATTACCTCCATTGTGAAACTTTCCTGATTTGCCTCTTTAAATTGGAATAAATTGTTTCTCCTTTTCCAAACACACTTCAATATAGTGATTATGTTGTATTTTGATTTTCACATGATTTTTTCTTCCAATGAATTCTGATTCCCTTGAAAGCTAAGTCCAGGCCTAAAATCATATTCATTTTGCTAGTGCACCAGTCATAGATCATACTTAATCAAATCTAAGGTAGCACTAATTGCAACTTTTTTCTATTACTAAGGAAACAAAGTATGAACTACCAATTAGGACATGCTATAAATTTTAAGACTCACCTTGATTTCAGAGATAATAAATATGTAAAACTGCACATTTAGAATAAGTATAATATGGTAGTGGGTGCTTAATGTATTTCTTAAGATAAAACTGTTTAAATTTATTCATTTATTCATATTTTGCCTTCTGTTCCATCTGCTCACAAAGTCCCTTTCCTATACTTGATGAAAATCCACTAACTTGACATGAAAGAAATTCAAAGAATTATGAACACCCTCTAAACTTGGTGTTGGTATGCCTACGTTTTCTGTGTTAGGTATCTAAGAAAAATGAATATATGTCACCCTGACACAATGTTTAATGAACTGAAGGAAACTTGTTTCCAGAACTATTTTAAAGATAAAATGTTGATAGAGTAAAACAAAAGAAACATCCTTAAATTATAAAAAACATTTTAAAATTATGAAATTTTAATTTATAATTAAAGGAAATTTAAAACAAGCAAAACCATTTAAAATGAAGTAAATTAAAGACAGCCAAATGGAGATGCTCAGGCCTCTAGATACTTTCAAAAAACAATAAACATCCGAACTTACCTTTAAAAACCAAAAGGCAAAAGTCAATTACCAGCAGACATCTCTCTTACTGAGCCTCCTACCCCTACGCTTTGGTCTGCCAATTTACCAGTAAAGATAGTTGAAATATGGAAACTCATTACCACCTAAGCAGTCTGGATGCTGCATGGTCAAGACCATTATGGATTAACAAGAACAATCTAGTTAAAAGACTATCTGTTGTTCTAAAAAGTGTTTGCAAACAATTTCCCTAAAGGTCCTTGGAGTACATATTTTATATATTTTAAAGCCATCTTTTATTTTATTTTATCTTTTTGAGACAGAGCCTCAAACTGTCGCCCTGGGTAGAGTGCTGTGGCATCACAGCTCAAAGCAATCTCCAACTCCTGGGCTTAAGCGATTCTCTTGCCTCAGCCTCCCAAGTAGCTGGAACTACAGGCTCCCACCACAATGCCCGGACTATTTTTTGGTTGTAGTTGTCATTATTGTTTGGCAGGGCCAGGCTGGATTTGAACCTGCCAACTCCAATGTATGTGGCTGGCTCCTTAGCTGCTTGAGCTACAGGCACCAAGCCTAAAGCCATCTTTATTTATTTTGTGTGTGTGTGTAGTTTTTTTTTTTTGGCTGGGGCTGGGTTTGAACCCGCCACCTCTGGCATATGGGGCCAGTGCCCTACTCCTTTGAGCTACAGGCGCTGCCCTCCTAAAGCCATCTTTTAAAAACAAAAAAAAATTTGGCTTACAAGTTGTACAAAAATAGGCCATAGCCACCCCTTATTTAAAATAACTGAAAAAAAAAAAAAAAGGTCAAAGCCACTGTTTTAAAAATCAAATTTAATTCTGTAGATACACTCCGACCCCTTAGCTATGTTTGACAAAGATGAGAGTCAGGAAAATTACTCACTTAATGTGGCTAAACTATATAATTGGTGGTAGAGCAAGTATTAGAACTAAGGTCTCTCTATAATCACTGTGACCCTTTCACAGGCAATAAGATCCAAAGATACCAATAATATATAAAGACAATGAATAGTTCTATCAGAAGCAACACTTACATAACGCCAAAAAAGCATGCTTTGAGGCCATAAGAACTAGCACTCTCCGGAGAATATCCTTATTAATAATGTAGTTCTTTATATGGTAGGTGTGGTGCTCTACACAAAATGTTAACAATTCCAATACAAGTGCCAATAGTTGAGCAGTTTGAAAATCATCTAAAAGAAATAAAACACAATTATGTTCATGGTCTAACATTCTTTTCCTTCTCCAATTTAAGAATTTAAATTCTAATCAAGAAAAATCCCTTCTTGGATTAACATTTATTGAATGCCTACCATGTGCCAGGAACTGTGCTTTACAATACTGTTTGGTTGAGACAGGGTGGAGGTTGCTCTGTTGCCTGGGTTAGAGTACAGCGGTGTCATCATAGCTCACTGCAACTTCAAACTCCTGGGTTTAAGTGATCTTCCTGCCTCAGCTTCCCGAGTAGCTGTGACTACAGGCACAGGCCACCATGCCTGGTCTGTTTTTGTGTAGAGCCAGGGGGGGTCTTGCTATGTTGCCCCAAGCTGGTCTTGAACTGGTCTAAACCGATCCTCTTCCCTTGGCCTTCCAAACTGCTAGGATTACAGGCATAAACTACCACGCCAGGCCTCTTAATTAACCTAAACAACCCTATGAGGAATTAGCTTCACAATAGTTCAAGTCTATTATTAGCTAATTGGACCCAAATCAGAAAAGTTATTAAGGCAAAGTAAGGATAGAAATGTAGAAAATCTGCTTTATCCCAAAGTTTAAGAACCCTCTATCAAGTGTCTTAACATGCCCTCTAATAAATGTACATACATCATAAGAGGTTCTGCCAGATACTATGTAATCTTATGTGGAGTAACTTTCTTGTTCCCTTCATTCTAGGGTATTTTGTGCTTTTAATATATATGTGTCTGTGTATATATATATGTATATATATATTTAGAGATGGTGTTTACAGTGGCAAGGCCAAAGCTTACCACAGCCTCAAATGAACCTCCTACCTGAGCCTCTTAAGGTGCTAAGAATACTGGCAGCACCAATCCTGGCTAATTTTTTGAAAGTTTTTTATAGAGATGAGGTCTGTGTTGTCCTAGCTGGTCTCAAACAAACTCCAGGCCTCAAGCAATCCTCCTGCTTTGGCTTCCCAAAGCACTGGGATTATAAGGTGTGAACTGCTGCACCTGGCCTTATGCCGCCTTTATGACAAAATGAGTCCACACCAAATTATAATTATCAGCTTATCTTTATTCCTCACCAGGCAGCAGACCTCTGAAAGCTATTTTTTCTCACGCCTCCCCTACAACTTAGCCTCTATAGATTATATAACACAGTCCTTCCACACAATCAGTTTTCAATAAATGCTGAATGAATTGAATATGTGGGTTTGGAAAGATGCCTCAAGCTTTACTCAATATGAATAAAGTAATAGAGAAAAATGAATATTCACATTTCACAGACCTGATTCTTCAGTCACGCAAAATAGTAAATTTAACATGTTTTCTATAAGTGGTGGCCCACTTCAAGAATTTTTACCACAAGCATCTCTTTTCAAAATAATTAGTCATCATCTATGTTAACCTAGTAGTTCAAAGTTTTAAGAACTATTATTATTACTTTTTTTTTTAGGGGACAGCCTGCCACCCCACTCCTACCCGTCCCAGCCCTTGCGTCTCCTATGGCTTCCTATAAAGACTATTACTTAACACCACCTTTGAGTTTCAGAATTCAACAAGGGAACTCTTAGCTACCAACCTGTATTATCTTACCTTTACTAGGTTTGTCTTCTGTTGTATTTGCTAGTAAGGGAGCAGTGAGAACATGCATACAGTGCTTGTAGAAGAAACCCAGAAATTCAGTCTTTTCTGTTTTCTAAGGAATCAAAAACACCTCCATGAACTTTAACTGCACTGGTTTCTACTAGCAATAAACAATATACTAGCTATAAAAAAGGAAAAAAACGCCCATGGCTTACATTGGCAGTGGCTAACATGTTCTCTGGGTCAACTAAAGTTCGAAGCAGTCCCATAAGTTGGACTGCTCCTCCAAGTTCAGGATCTGTATCACAAATCATATGTTCTATAATGAGGTTGATGAGTAAAATATCCTGGTGAGAAAAATAGACATAATAAGGACCACTTACTACTAGGAAGAATGGAAAAAGCACAAACTAAGACATAAACTACAGCACTATACATAGATCTAGCTATCTTGTTAACTGCAAACCAAATGAAGTGATTAACTCATTTCTTTAATAGGTCATGTAACAGTGTTTCTTTCCCTAAACTGTGGTACAGGGACATTCCACCAAATAGTACTGAAAAGATAAGAAATTTCTATTATCTTTAAATTCCTCTGATTAAAGAAAAAAACAAAGTTTCAGTGTGGTGCTAATATTCTTTCAACGTCTTTTTTTTCTTTTTTTGGAAGAAAGCTAATGGGCTTTAGGTTACCTTTCAACAGTAAGAATATTTAGCTTTAATAATGTATAACACTGTTTTACTTTCACTGCATTTTTATAGATTCCTTCTACTTATGGCAAATGAGCTCTGTTTTCCACGTGCAAACATGATGTAAAGTTTCCTCTCAAAATAAATTCAGGAAAAAAAAATCAGTCCATGCCTGAATGTCTGCAATTGGGAAAATAAAACTACTATATTTAGAGAGTGCACAGAACAAACAGATTAAATAGATTCCAAATGTCAAAGAAAATAGATCGCCAGTTTTCCTGAGGCCCTATTATGCTCCTGGTTCAAGGAGTAAATGAAAACTGAGAGGGATTCAGTGAGAAACTTCCTGCTCCTGTTTATATACACGCAATGGTAGGACAGACGAGGACAGAGAAAATGTAGACCCAATATATGGAAATGATGATCCAGAGTAGGAATCAAGAGCCCTACTACTGCATGTGTGCAAAGTATTTTGAGGTACATAAAGGCATGTTCAACTAGTGGGTTACCAGGGTCAACAAGAACAGCATTGTTTATTTTCAATAATATGAATATTTTTATGTTCAAGATACGGTGATTTTATAAAAGAAGAATGTGACATAACATTCAACAGTTCAAACTAGTCCTTTTTTTGCATCTACCCTGGCACTGTAATTCAAAAAGAAAACCTTAAATATAGAAATCACTAGGCATTCCACTTTATTAAAACACATTAATTAGGATCTTTTCGAAAAGTAACAAAGCCTATTTTCTCATTTTGTAAAAATAGCACAGGTTGGAATTCCACGTAAGGTTTTTTTTTCTTTTGGAGACAAGAGTCTTACTCTAAGGCCCATGCTAGAGTGCCTTAGGCTCCTATCAGCCTAGCTCATAGCATCCTCAACCTCGTGGGCTCAAGTGATCCTCTTGTCCTGGCTTCCCAAATAGTTAGGACTACAGGTGCCTACCACAATGTGCAGCTAATTTTTCTATTTTTAGCAGAAATGGGGTCTCAGCTCTTGTTCAGGCTGGTCTCCAACTCCTTAGCTCAGGCAAATCTTCCCTCAGAGTTCAGAGTGCTAAGATTACAGGCCATCATGAGCCATAATGCCCAGCAAATTTTTTTTCCTAAGGGAATAATATCTTTTTCCCTCTTCTCCCTAAGGAGTTGAGGGCAAAATATCTTAGTCTATTCTTAGTAAAAAGTTACTTCTGAAATTTTATAGAAAAAGAAAGAAAAATCAGATCACTGAATACTCTTACGATAAAGCAGAAGAACAACACACATTTAGGGATCCGAATATGTTATGTACTATATGATCAAGAAGTGCCCTTCACATTACTAGGATATATTTTCTCATTCACTTTATAACTGATAAATCTATTATAATTTCTCACAGATACTAGAGTGTTAGAAAGTGTGTGCAAACAAGACAACAGCTTGTCCTCTACGGTCAGGTAGTAAAGATATAAGGGACTATGCTTCATTTCTTCATTTTTGATGATTTTGAGAATTTATTCCTAGTAAACTCTATGTTTTCCTAGGGAAGTTACTGATAATTCTACAGAGAGAAGAACAATTGATTAAGTGATTTAAGTAAGACAACACAGCAAATTAACTTCAAAACTAGAAGCTTGATGTAAAAAGAAAAAAAAAAAATTTTTTTTTTTTTTTTTTTTTTGAGACAGAGTTTCACTATGTTGCCCTTGGTAGGGTGCTATAGCGTCACAGCTCACAGCAACCTCCAACTCTTGGGCTCAAGCAATTCTCTTGCCTCAGCCTCCCAAGTAGCTGGGACTACAGGTGCCCACCACAATGCCCAGCTATTTTTTGTTGTTCTCATGATTATTGTTTAGCAAGGCCCAGGCCGGGTTTGAACCCACCAACCCTGATGTATGTGGCCGGCGCCCTAACCACTGAACAATGAGCACCAAGCCATTGAAATAAAAAATTTTAAAGGAAATTTAAATCAAACATTAACAAATAATTGCTGTAAAACAGTATATTTATAAATAGATGGGGCCAATTTAGAATATCAATAGCTATTTGATATTATGGCTATATTTTTTCCAAATACCAACAATTTAAGTCTTAAAAATGAATAAAAACAGTTAGTTATAACTTCCTATGTATAAATACTTACTATTAGTACAAATAATATTTACCTTGTTGGTTATTTTTTGCTCTGTTAACTTCTTACTTACATCATCATTCTGTTGTGCCTCCTGCATGACAAACTCTCGTACCATGGATGGATTATATTCAACCAAGTATGAGAATATATCAGTAGCAGCACTTCGCACCTGTGTATCATCCATGCCCTGTGGATAAAAAGCCCTTATTTCTCCTACAATTATAAAAATATGGAACTTATAGCTATGTAAATATCCAAATCTAACAAACTGTAAGAAAATGCTGCAATGTAAAATAAAGTTCAAAAAAATTCTGCTGCATGTAAAACTCTTATTTAATGGATGAATTTACACTTTTTAAGACAGAGTCTCACTTTGTCACCCTCAGTAGAGTGCTGTAGCATCACAGCTCACAGCAACCTCAAACTCTTGGGCTTAAGTGATTCTCTTGCCTC